ATCGGTACACGAATTGCAAGTATGATTTTTCTGCATTGCTCTCAAAATAGCAACTCGCCCTTACCTCTACTCTTACCATTACAAGCAAAAGGAGAGTTCAACAAACCGTGTGCGTAGTGAAGCTACATTTCCGGCCAGAAGCAAAACAAGGGGCCTTCTCAGCATTTGCTTAATGGATCAGGGAAACTGGACGAAAACCTGATCGATGGTGATAGATGACAGCTGGCAACAGGATGGGGCAAACCCGTAAACCAAGGAAATTAGGAATCGAATACGAGAAAGTCTATGCCATTGTGTATCAACATTAGTTTCTTTCTCGTATACGTACGTATATACAGAGTAATGTACGTAGTACAGGGAAAGTTATGAAATTCTGTGGAAAATCGATTTCGAGATTTCAACAGAAATAGACCTCTTGGGGTCCTCTGAAACACCGTCAAATTTTGTCTTCAAACTTTATGTACGGATAGTGCCAAATGCACTGTTTAACACGACGTAAAATTCATTTTGCTGTATTCTGTCATGTTTTCAAAAATTACGCAAATGTATTTTCTTTGAAATATCTCTCGCGCCGTTAATATACAATGCACTTTTGTATACATTGTTACATTTGTGAGTGGATGTGCTTCAAATGACTTCCAATTAAGTTTTTCGTAAACTTCTATCAAAAAGAGCTTTCAATTTCACATTTAGAGTAAAAAACGGCTTACACGATATTTAAAAACGGCTCCAAAATTTTTCAAAGAATATTTCCTTATAGGGCTACGTTTTACTCTCCTATAATATTCTTGAAGTAATACTTCGGTTTTTCCATTATAAAACGGAAAAATTGAGAAATTAAAAAAAAAAATAGTACAACAGAAGATTTAGTTGTGCGGTTCTGAAGAATATTTAGATATTTTAATGTTGGGGAGGGGCACATTACATGAAACCTCTGTGACAGTCAAGATTTTCCCGAAAATGCAGAAAAATTTTTTTTTTATTCCTATTTTCATTACAGTTCCTGAAATGTTGAAAATTAGAAAAGTTCAAATTTATTTTCAATGCAAATTATTGCAATTATTGCATTCTCAATGCAAATTATCCCTCCATGGAAGATCTTTAAATGTCTTGCACTTAAAGCAATGTGAATAATTGTAGAGTAAAAACAATACGAAGAGAAATCGTTTCATTCGGTATAAAATGCATTCCCTCTATTTTAAACAATAATGGTCATTGTTACCGTTCCAAGTTCAAATAACACATCAGTACCCAACCTTACCCACCCTAACAAAATGCTACACAAGTAAGTTGGCAAACTGTCAGATCACTATATTTTGCAAAATAATTATAATCATCAAAAAGCATAATTACTTATTAAGGCATACACTGCAAACCACATTACAACATGCTATGCACGTTCAGGGAATCAAAATCAGAAAAGGAAAAATTATATATTTTTAGTATAATATGATAGGGAATATGTGGGGACGATTGAAGTTGCGATCTGTCTACGTTTGAGGAGACAGCAAAGCACGAAAGCGTGATAATTTTGCATTTAAGACAAATTGAAGTGCTTTTATAACACCGCATTTTTTGTTTCATATAAAGCTCCTACAGAAGGATACAAAAATATGCTGCAATCACAAGAATTGTACCTTGCATGCGTAACTTAGTAGTCAAATGTTCTTCTGAAAGCCACAGCTAAAGATTTTCTCACATCATATGACCATTTGCAACGAACACGAATAGCATTAACACATATATTGGAGCTTGAGTCACTTTCACGGTACATATATTGAAATAGCCAGTATTAAATACATATTTTGACGCGCAAAAAAAGATTGCCGAAACCCGGGATCGAACCAGGGACCTTTAGATCTTCAGTCTAACGCTCTCCCAACTGAGCTATTTCGGCACGATGCCCTTACTTCTGGACGTGAGTGTTGTAAATGTCTTGGTTATTTTTTCCTATTACTAATTGAGACTTCCTTTCAGAACACTTTATTCACTATAAAGAATAGTAGAAACTGTATTTCGTATTATAAAGTTTAAACCGCAAATATTCCATCAACGTTGCACCTAAACGGCCGCTTCGGGCACGACAGCTTACAAACGCGCTCTCCGCGCGCTCTGTTGGACGACAGCCAACACCAAGGCGCATGCGCGCGTAACATCACGGCGCAAATTGCCACGCGCTCTAGGCGACAGTGTTTACAAACAAACCCGAGACCAAACAGAACCGCGCGAAAATTCATCAAGAACTTCAAAAAATATAAGTGCATTAATATGTAGATCCAAAGTTTCTAGAGTAAATTATATTTAAATACACCAATTTAAATACAATTGCATTGAGTACCTTCTGAGTAGAGGGCTGAGTTTACCATATTTGCATATTTCATTCCTCAAGTTCAAACACTAAGTTGAGTCTTTAGAAACACCATCATTGACGTGCTAAAGCAATTTGATTCATTCTTCACTAGAAGAGTGGCCAGAAAATGTCTTTCCTATATTATGTAGTAACAGACTTTTCTTTCTTTTTATGCTCATTTATTATGAGAATTTTGTTTCACAACTCTGACCTAAATCGCCATTAGTACCTCTACTTTGAGCTTTTGAAGTTTGTATCTACTTGTAAATTGAAAATAAAAGTTACTTAAAAATATTTATGTAATATTGAAGAATTTATAAGCTACGTAGTATAGATTATAAATAAAATAATATTTTTTTGTAAATAACTGTACGAAACTAGCAATTCTACAGAATGGTACAGTATTATACCAGTTAGTTTTCTCATTTTTTGGCCTGGACTTGCTTATCAGTTTTGCCATACCCTCTTCCCAGTTGCAATCTGTCGTGAAGCCACCTTTATAAGAGTAGTTTACTCTAATGTTATAAGAAATTTAAAGAAAAAATGTGGAGACATTTTTGAGAAAATTTTGAAAATGTCATAGGGGATTCACGTAAAGTGCCCAAAAATTAATTAACATTTTTCAAAACTGCAGAGCCATGTGTGAGGCAGATTGACAAGGGTTTATTCTATTTGAAAAAAATCCTACATATAGTTTGGGTGCTAGTTTAGTTCTTAATAGATGACAGTCAGACAGGCATTTTGAAAACAAACAAAACTTTTTCCATACCAGGGGGCCCCAAAACGTGTATTTCTGTTGACCTCTCGAAGTCTATTTTTTGCAGCATTACATAACTTTCTCTATACTACGTATATTATACTCCATATATACATACATATATGAGAAAGTAAAAAGACAAAACATTCCAACATTCTGATATGCAATATTTACAAAGTAATTATACTACATTTAATTGCCTCATGATGAAATGATGCCTTTGCAAGAAACTATTACACCACATTACTTCATTATAAGGAAGGAAAATATGAATTTTAAAGTACTTTTTTAAATTTATTATTATATTGGATGCATATTTCAGTAACTCAAGCAAATCAATGCAAACCTTCCTATTATTGACTCTCTGATTCCTTCAGCTACTTATTGCAAGGGAAAGCATGTGTGGAGGGATGCTCATTACACAGAAGAGTGCCACGTAACAACATGATTAGCCCCATGCAGTAATTTTAAGAAATAGTGTTGTGGAAAGTCAGCAAGTTATCATCTCAGTAAATCATGTTATCAAAGCTGATAGTTGCTGTATACAGGGAACAAGAATTAACTGTGTTGTGATCTGCTTATTACTCTGGGAAGATGGGGTTTGCAAGCAAAGGAGAAATAGAATCGGAAAATACACTTGCTGGAGGGAATATGAAATTAATCGCCAATTCCATTCATTGCATTGAAAATTGAAAAAGGAATATTTAAAGTAGTGCTGTCATAGCATTTAGAAGACTCAAATGGTGGCAAAGAATAAACCTTGGGGAAGTATTTTGCTATGGAAAAGGATTAAAGCTTATATCTCTACGTCAACTAGGTTTTAACAGAAAAATTGATTTATGTCAAGCATGGAACATAGTTGTAGAATGTAAAAATATCTAAGAGAAAAATGGTTTTTAATCAAACAGATTGGACATGAAATTCCAAATTATGCAGCACTTTGAAATGGCAGCTCACTTAAGAAATTTTTTAAAGTGTATTTCATAAGTCTAAAGCAGTCAGAAAGAAACAGAAGTTCTATCCCTCAGAGCAGCAGCAGATTTTCTGAGGTGCTAGGTGCAATTATCATTTCTGCTAGCATTCACTTTAAAAAATTGAATAATCAAATTTCAGTTTCAAATATTTCTGAAATTTACTGTCTAAGAGGTTTTCTAGACAATTCTACGTTGAGAAAGTGACACCTGCATTACCTCATTAGTGCATGAGATTGGAGAAAACAGAAAAGAAATTTATTTACATCTCAATTTTATTTGAATATTTTTAGATTTTAGTGCATATTTCACTGATTTTAAGTACATAAACGCATGCCTACTTTGACAATTAAAAGAACATAATAATTCTTCCACTATTCATGAGAGTCAAATGGGATTGAGTGATGCCTCAATGTCTGTTTTTTTAGGGCTAATATTTTTTATCCTGTTCCTATATCAAGTTAACTATGACAAAACAAGCCTTTTCCAATTTATGCATTATGTAACTGAGAAATAAACAACCAGTTCTTTTCTCTTATTTTGAAAAATTCCTATAGCACATCGTGCACTACTGTTTCTAGTTATACTACTGCATTTCTATACTACTACCAGTGCCACAACCAGGATTTTCTATAGGAAGAGGTACAGAGTCCAGTGGACTTGATGTTTTCTTACAAAGAATTACTGAAAAACTTTTGTCACAGAGATTCTGAATGCCTTTTGTTACTATAGAAAAGTAGTAAAATTATATTTGTTAGTGTGTCATTGGCTTCTGGGGGAGGTGGCTGGAGCCCCATGAAGCCCTCCTCCTCCAAAAAACACATTGTGCATAACTTTGTGCTATATTACTGACTACTGCACTACTGTGCTACTGCCATTCTATACTACTCTCCCTCTATACTATCACATTTCTTGTACTCACCAAAGTCATTTGCTGCATGGAAACCTGTTTCTGACAGGACAGAAACAGCATCTAAGTCTATCTTCTTGTTGGTTTCAGGGGAATCTTCTTGAGTTTCAGCCTATAAATGAAGATAACTGCATCTTACTTTTTGGCTCCTCAATTAATGATACTATAAAGCTAACTCATTATTTTACATTCAAAACATTACATTTTCTAGCATTTGTCTGTTACAAATGATTGCAAAGTTTTCCAAATCAATAAAATCTCCATAGCAATATAATTTACTAAAATATTATATCTTCAGGCAAAACAACAAAACTGTCTTATTTAAAAAAATTGATATCGATTTTTATAACTTGTCCCTTCTCTTTTCCAGAGCTGCTACTTCCGACGCAGTATTTTCACAATCAGTAAGGAGTCATGAACTAACTTTTCGCCAACCAAAGTGCCCCCAACTTTTAAATCTGTGTCAATGTCTGTTTTGCATATCTGTCTGCTTTCACATAATATGATCTTTCCAGTTTCTTTAATAAACATCTACAAATGCAACTGAATTGTTAGTGTGTTCTAATAATCCTGTTTCATAATTTTGTCTCTTTTAGTAACTTATACAAATGCTCTTGATTACCTCATTTGTTCCAATTTCCATTCTTTTTTCTCTGTGTTTTTAACGTTTATGCGTCACTACTATATAATATGATTCAGCGGTAGCAACAGATATCTCATTGTAGTTCAAAATTAATATAATGATAATGAAATAAGAAGTGGTTAGGTAGACACGATCTGAAGATGAAATGTAATTCACCTTAAGAAGGCAAGCCCAAACTGTTTTTGTTTATCTCTTCTATGTTTAAAGGGCGGTCCATTTACTTAGGTATTGATGTAAAAACACAGATGGGAAAAATTCCTGAAAACTAGTGCTGGTTCACATTTTTAATATATTATTAATATGTCCAAAACATTTTGGACATGATTTTTTTCATTCTCATTATACTGTTGGTTAGTTTAAGCACTATATTATATAATCAAAGTTTAGTTTCTGGGTTTGTAACATGTTTTGAAGGGTCTTTTGACACTATCATTCATTTAATTATATCTAGACAGCATTATATCTAAATCTTCATTTCGTAATGTCTATCTGGTACATGGAAAAGTGTAAAAATTTTTACTTACTCATAATTTATCATTACCAGCTTTGTTCTGAAAATATTTTTCTTTGTTGTTGATATTCTCCTTCATATTTTTCTACATTCTCAGTAGCCAAAATTACCTCTTCAATGCATATAGGGTCATTTGTACTCTCATATTCTCTATTAGGATTAATTCTCCCTTCGCCTCTCTTTCCTACCTTTAACACTGGGTTTAAATGAATACTACTGAAGTAACAATACAAATGATAACTTTTTCAAGAAAAAAAAAAAAAGAAAAACTACTATTAAATGACAATTGTTTGCACAAAAGTACAGTTGGATGTACACAAGACAAAGTTTCAGATCACTACCTTTGAACATGTATTTTGTTTTATGCTTTCCTTCTATAGAGATTATGTTCTTTTTCCATGGAAATGAATTACAATAGTTTCACATTCAAGAAAAAATACACTCGATTAAGCATCTTAGGTTAAATTTTCACACTTCATATAATTTCACATCATTTAAAATCCTAAAATGATTTATTTTAAACATGCAGCACTTGCTAGCTTGTAAAAGTTCCAATAGTGTATTTATCGAAGGGTCAACCTACAGACTAGTAAACTGAACAGAACCAATGCCATTTAGATAGGGCAAAGCTGGCCTGGGAAGTGCAACGGATTGGAACATCATCTAACACTAATTAACCAGAGATTAAACCTGTGGATTCAAGTGCTGCAAGAGGTATTTTCACCACATGGTCATGGCTTGGCTGGCTTCCCACATCATCCACCCTATCTGAATCATTCATTCAGCAACACCGTTTACCTCCACGGTTACTACATCACCTTTAACACAATGAAAGACAAAAGCAAACCAACACTATGATCACTTGCACACAAAATGGTAGGATATAAACAGATGCGGATCCACGAGGAGGGAAATACGGGAAATTTCCCCCTAAAATTTTTCAAAAACTATTTGTTTGAAACTTGTCATGAAACTTTCAAGCAAATTTATTTCCAGATAATCATTAAAAGCATGAGTTGAGTGTAACCTGCGACATTTTACAAAATCTGTTATATGACACATTCAACCAAAACATTTTGAATTTTGTTCTCCCTAACTCATCTCTGGATCTGCCCTTGATACAACAATGTAAGAATTTCAGGGTAATTTTCATCATTTTGAATATTTCACAATGTTTTCAATTTAAATGATGCACACATGTGTACATAATTGATGCATTTTAAAGAATGCACAACCTGTCATACATTTATATAAATATGACCCAATATTTTCACAAGCTGATAAACAAATACCTCAACTTTTTAGAAATATGACAGAATGACACAAGTGATTAAAAATTCTATTAAATAGGCCCAATGTCAACACAATTCATAAGACATTGTAGTATTACACTGCCAAGTTTATTCTCTGTGCAACAATATCAATCACTTCTTTGAAAATAAAAGAAGAGCTACTGCAAAATTTGGTGCATTCCATAAGAAGTGGGAGAGGCATACTATTTTGTGACACTGAGCACAAAGCTTATGTGAGCCAGTATTCTTTTGAGGTCTTTTGTATCTCCATTAAATGAGATCCCTAGAGCTTTAATATTTTACAACCCTATATAAATCCAGGCCTGATTGAAGCTCAGCTTTAATAAACTAGCCATTTTGACCCCTCTTTTTTAAACCTTTCCAAGTTGAACTCCTTTGGTAGTGTGAAAAATGTTTGCTTTAAAGAGGTCTTCAAACAGGAGGTGGCCTAATGATGTATAAAAATAACACTTTCCAGGAAAAGGCTTTACTGATTCACATGTCCACACTAAAAGGATTCTGTAAGTATGCACAGATGGCAATAGAAATAAGTTCCAACAATCCAAATTTCATACATAATTCATCATCTTTCTGTACACTATTTTTTATGTGCATATACAGTAAAGAACATTTTTGTAAGCTCCCAAAGCATGCTAATAGAATATATTTAATGTCAATTTTTTATAAAAAGCAAAACTATCACAAGAAAATTTGCTACATTCCACTGTCAACAAAAATTATGAGATTGAAAGTCATGCACATATTAATTTTTCAGCTGTATTTGACTGATAAGGAATGAATGTCACTTGTTATTTATTCAAGAAAACAGCTGAAACAGCAGTGAACTCAATACCACCATTGTCAGATCATCTATGTGATTGTACAGAATGATGACAAATAATGATAATTCAAGATACTTTTGTTCGTTTGTGAAAATTTCAACACACAACAATGATCAATTCAGAAGATTCCAGAGTTTCTGATAACTGGAAGAAACACTAAGAAGGAATCCCTCTAATCATTTACAAAAAACAGTTCTGTGGTACCACACATAACATTTCATTTCACCATTAAAATGTAATAAAGAACAAAAATGAAACACAATTAATATCACATTCAGGTTAATTATTCACAAGAAAATCTTCAAAATATAAATGCAATCATTGTTATCTTTATCATCATTATCATCCTCAATGCAAAATGAATATTTCTTTAGATAGCACAATTTGCACCTTTCAACCCAGTCTTTCCTGGCCTTCACGGTCTTGGTCTTCCAAGTTCCTTTGTATATTAGTGTGTTTTGCACATCTATCTGCCTATATTTTCTTAATGTGGTTTTGCAGTTTGCTTTGATAAACATAACTTCAACTATAATGTTACTTATTATTCTTAGAAGATACTATGTCCTGATTTCTAATTGTCTCTTTTAGTTACATTTACAATAATTGTTCTCAAATACTATCCCACGAGTCCAGTCTTTTTGTCTGTCTTTCAACATTCATGGTTTTCTCAATGTTTTTACTAGTTACACTATGTTGTGTAACACAATTTTTGATTCTGTATTCAAAATGTGTACATTCAGCCATTAATTTTGTTTTACTTACGTAATTGCAAAATGTCAATAAATATCTGTGAAATGCTTCACTTGTTTTGTAATTTTAATACTTATCACTCCTTTTTTTCTAGCATTATTTGCCTGCTAGAGGCAATTCATTGTTCATCTGAGTCCACACCTATAGCACCAGAGACAGACTACGAAAGTCTGTATTCATGAAAACATTTGAAAAGGAGTCTGAGAATGATCCCTTGTTAGACCACACCAAATGTTAGTCTGCGCTCACACAATAATTAACACAAGACCAACCTTAACCACACCACAACCTTAACAAAGTATTATGATTTGGTTACTTATTGGAAATACTTCGATGTACGTGAAATTAATTTAGTGTGTGAGGAGCGAGAAGTGAGAGGTGTTGAAAGAACATACCTTCAGACGATTATAAAGGTTAACAACGATGATAATGAATTTTTTGAAATTGCATATTAATTACATAAAAATAAATTTTACAGAACTGATTATAAAGCTTTCTCTTTGAGACAGTGCTAATGAACAAGATCTCCCACATTCCACAAGTTCAACTTTCGTTGAGATCTCCCATTCGAGATGACTTTCAGGATGGTTTGGATTACTCGCAGGTGGAGTAGTAAGCAATCAAAAGGAGAAATTGTTGCATCCTCATTTCAGAAATTATAAAATGTCTATGGAATGGCAAGAGATTCAGGAAATTTTTATCTATGTTCTTGATATTTGTATTCCATACTACACAATTTACGAGCTCCTTGTAGACCAGCCTCTGTAGCCACTAAATTCAACAGATCATCAGTGTATAGAATCATATCAATTGTTCCTGTTTTTTCTAGGATTACATGACTTTATCAGATTGTTTCCTTTTGTTTACTTGAGGTTTATGTTTATGATAAGCTATTTAATTCTATTTTGAACAAGTTTCACATTTCCATTCTTCAATCATATTCCTCTTTTTTATCACTTATCAGTCAAGACACAATGAAAAAACATAACTAGGCACAGTGAATTACTAATTCAGTCAAATTTCCCTTAATTTACTTTTCATAGCATGACTTATTACTCATCTCATTACTGATTACAGTAATTCCATCAGAAATTGAATACTGGGGTATGTTTTAACAAATTTCATTAATTTATTACAAGATCCTATAATTTCACAGCTCTGCAAACTTTGGAAGTCATGCCCTGAAAAGTAGGGAAATTGTTTAATGAAGTCTTAACTGCTTACTCATTGCACGTACAGTTATAAAGTTTGCTTTTCTCAATGTACGCACTACCACTGCGTGGTATTTTAAAAAACTGAATGTCTTTGAAAAAATATTAAAACCTAAATAATATTTGCTTTTATATCATTTTTTTCCTAAAATTCAATCCCTAATTATATAAATAATAATAATAATAATAATAATAATAATAATAATAATAATAATAATAATAATAATAAGTAATATTAACAATACGATAAAAAACAGACCTAAACACAAAAGAAAACTCACAAAATTGCTGATTATTACAGAAGAAACCGATAGTAAAGCCTCTTTCATGTAAATAGTTAATTTGATGTTTAAAAATTTAGTTAGAAATATACTAGTTTGCAATTTTATATTGAAATCATCACATTAACACTTTATCTTTACTTCTGCTTATTTTTTTAATTGGTTTCTCTTTTTTTCTGTAATATAAAATGATTTGAAATACTTTAGACAGAATAAATAGTTTCTACATGACAACAAGTTCACACCAGGAGAAATCCTTCGTGAAATAATGTATTGTTCATATATTATTTAGTATATTTAACAACCTGTTAAATAAATAAATTAAAGTAATAATAATAGTACTAATACTATTCCAGATGGTTCAAAGGCAAAAAAGTGGACAAACTGCACAGGCAAAACCTACAATATGCAAGTTCTCGCCACTTCTGACAGGATTTGGCACTTGAGAATAATAATTAAATTGCATTATTATTGCTCAAGCATTTCCGAAGGAGTTTCTCAGGTTCACAGGGAGTGGCAGGGAAACGAGGACAGGGTGCACACATGGATCTGAGAAAAGCAGAGACGGTGGACTCCATTAATAAGTACTTAAATTAGTTCAATCGTAAACATGTCAAATTAGCTTTTAACACATTGAGAGCCACAAGACCACTAATGGCCTCAGGCGAGATCCCTCTGAGAGGCTGCTGGTAAATTCTGAGGGCACGAAATAAATTCTAGCAGCTCTATTTAGTGACATCAACTGACTAGTGATAACTCATATCTCTTCTGGGTGAAAAATAAAACAAATCTGAAGCATGGCCTGCGGATTGCTCAAGGTTTGCCTACCAATGCAATCAGTGAACTGTGAATAATTTATATTGTTCATAGAATCACAGTTTGGCCCCTAGATGAATGCTCCTCATGTGGGTGTCACTCAATGTGTTAATAATGAATATAGTCACCACCAGAGCTAAATTATTGGAGGGAAAGGTTCAATAGATAAGGTACAAATTATCAAAGAGTCCCCTCCAATATACTCCCAACTCCACAACACAAGGGGGGGGGAGCCCATGAGGAGAAATAGCATGTTATTATAGGAACAATGTTGGGAGTTCATTTATATTTGACTTCAAAATAAATAAATTACTCTAATGCAAAAAGTAATCCATTGAATCTCAGAACAGAAGTATATTCTGGTTGCCTGATGATAAGCTTGTGAGAAAGCACCCTCATTTTCTTTGTAGCTTACCGCCTGACCATGATCCAACCCATTTCTCTCCCAACTCTTCCCAAGTCTTGCGGAGAACGAATCCTCTGGGGCAGCATATCGTCGCCAGTCGTAAGTGTGACCAGTTTCTGGTTCAGCCTCTTGAGGTACGGTGTAACGGTGAGGATCATAAGAGCGGACACTGCCATCACTTGTAGCAGGAACGACATCAGGCCTGCGCAAAAAAAAATTCTTTAATTTTCCAATCCAAAATTTTGAAAAACAGAGACTTCTCTTGGAAAGGGAAAAAACCAACAGGTTCTCCATGAAGCTCTATTAAATTTCATTTTTTTCTGTGAAACTTTATACATAAATCATATTTTCTGCTTAAATATACACATTTATTTTTAGCACATCTACAATTAATTCCAAGGCAACGTTTCTCTTGCTCTACTTCTCTTCTTGTAAAGATTCACCTCTTTGCTTAGGGTAAAAACTTGATTAAGATCAATAATGACGTGAGAATGACTTAATAGTTATGCTCATTGGAAATATTTCAGAAATGAAGGAGAATATCCTAATGAAATCTTTAAGATATTCACATAAACTTGTGATAAATTAAATTTGTTTTCTTCAATTATATATGAAACATCTTCTCTTTTTGTTTGTAAAAATTTAATATAAGAAGATGATATTACTTTATACATTTATTCTTTTCGTTCAAAAAAATGTTAAAGCTCTTTTTTATTGATTTAATCTTAATGACAATTTTAATGGTCAAAAAAGGTAAATTATAATGCTATGAATTTTTATATTTATTGATTTTGTAAACTGAAATATATAAGTATGGTTATTTATTTAATTATTATACTTATTATTATATATATACTATTATTAATAATATTTATTATTATTATTATTATTATTATTATTATTATTATTAATATTTATTATTATTATCATTATTATTATTATTATCATCATTATTATTATTATCCATTGTTTTTGTTTTTTCCTGAGTTCTTGAATATCTAAAGAAACTACAGACACCACTCACATGACTACAGACTGCTTTGTTTTGTATCAATTTATGTATCCGTTGGAAATTAGTAATATAAACAATGTTTTTTAATCTTTTGCCCCTCCTAAAGGAAATGCTGTCTTACCCAGAGCTAGAGGGAGACCCAGGAGGCGGAGATGGAGGCAAGGGTGATGGCAAAGCAGATGGACCATCATCTTTTTCTTTTTTTTCTTCTTCTTCTTCTTGTTCTTCTTCAATATCCCTCTCTGCCTCTCCGTCTTCCTCTCCATCAACCTCATCAGCTTCAGATTCTTCTTTGGATGTACTAGATTTAGGAACTTTACAGCATGTCGTAGGTGCCTTCAAAGCTTTTGATCTTGTTGCACTTCTGCTCCTCCCTTCTGGAAAAAAAGAAGAAGATGAGAAGAAGAAGAAGAAGAAGAAGAAGAAGAAGAAGAAGAAGAAGAAGATGATGATGATGATGATGATAAGAAGAAGTTAATGATGATGATGATAATAATAATAATAATAATAATAATAATAATAATAATAATAATAATAATAATAATAATAAATAAGATGAATAAGATAAGAAGAAGAAGAAGATGATGATGATGATAAGGATAAGAAGAAGATGATGATGAGAAGAAGAGAAGAAGATGATGATGATGATGATGAGAAGAAAAAGAAGATGATGATGATAAGAAGAAGATACGAAGATGATAAGGGTAAGAAGAAGATGATCATAAGAAGAAGAAGCAGATGATAAGAAGAAGAAGATGATGATGATAAGAAGAAGAAGAAGAAGATGATGATAAGAAGAAGATGATGATAAGAAGAAGATGATGATAAGAAGAAGATGATAATGATAAGAAAAAAGATGAAGAACAAGATGATGATGATGATGATGATAAGAAAAAAAGATGATGAAGAAAATGATGAAAAAAAGATGAAGAAGAAGAAGAAGAAGATAAGGAGAAAGAAAAAATAAATTAAAAGAAAAGGAACAAACAATTTTTACAATCCAGAGATATTGAAACTGAAATTTTAAAATTAGAAAAGCTTTGACATGTAGATTACTAATTTAGGGACAAATAACATATAGAAGTACAAGACATATGTAAATACTGAGTAGCGAAAAAATGTAATCATATTTGAAGAAGTAATACTAATTAAATAGAAAATAGCTTTTATAACCAAGTTAATTCTAATATTCCTAAACAATTACAGAAATACTCCAAAATTATACAACATAATTGAAAACAAGGAACAGAATTAAATTTCCTTACATAATAGGGATAGTATTTAAACCAGTAATCTCTACTTTTTTCCAAAATGTAATTAACGGTATTCAATCAATCTTGACTTTGGAATCTACCCATATAAAATACCAGTTTCTCACAACTTTCATTTCTTCTCCTCTCTCCCTCCTCCCTCTCTTCTTCTCCATCCTCATCCTCTTTTTCCTCCAATGAAAAATTTAGCTTACAATCAAATTCAGCAAACGGCTTTTTACGGCTTCACATTAACACATTTATTTTGGGATTACTTCTTTCTTTCTTTCTTCAGCTGTCTAAATTTGGTTTATTTCAGTTTTATTTAGGTAGTAATAAAAACAATTTTCAGTATAAAAAATGGAAAATACTGCAGGAGGCAATGCCTATACACAAACCTGATGGATCATCCATTACATAATTTTATCATTCATTTGATAAATGACTTTTTCACACTCAGTATATAGAAATAAATTAATGAAAAAGAAAAAGAAAGGGACCAAAAAACAGATAATGTAAAATGTAAGTCAAAAAGAAATCAACGACCAACAAATATCTAGAGTTCAAATATAATCCTGTAATTAAAATATTTTGCTACAGCATTATTATTCTTACTTGGTTGTTCCCATGCTACAGTGCCACGTAATGGTTGAGCTTTCTGTTTTTCATTTTGATCCGCAGGTGGTTGAGGCAGTCGACGCAATGGTATCCTGCAAGGAAAGAATAGCAACCCAGTAATATTAGGCCATAATCTGCAACTTGCATTTAACCAGCGCTGAATTTCTGGAAGAATGACCCGCATTTTTTAACATTTTGAATGCTCAGAATTAAAAAAGAGTAATTTCAAAAGTAGAAAGTAAATTCAAATATCTATGACATTATTAGCAAAAGAGATATGTAATATTATATTTAATTTCCATCAGGGAAGTTCAACAACTAATATTAATTCTAGATGCTACGATCTATAATCCGAATTACTTGTTTACATGAGATGATAAAGTTAGGTTATCACCCTTACATTTAAGCTTGTATATGTTAAATGTTGGCAACAAGTCAGGCTGAGAGTACCACTTAATTATTTTTTTAGAAAATCAGCACTGCACAAAACTATCATGATTAATTTATTTTATTTATTTAATTTTTTTTCTTCTTCCTATAGGAGACTATTTCATTTTTAGAAATATGCAGAATGGGAACTCTAAACTGAAAATAGTAAGGAAGAATTCAAGAACCATTAATATTCAAAAGTGTAATTGTAACACGGTGTTCATCCAAGAAAAAGAGGAACGAGGAAGGGCGAGAACCAGTAAAATTAATATTTGTTGGTTTGTTTGTTTTGGTTGCTCTTTTTACTTGCATTTACTATGTTTGACATAAAATGACAGTAATAGCCTTCTGGATTTCACACCGACACTGTATTGTGTTGTGTACAGAAATACTGATATTATATTACATCTTTTCTCTTTGCGCTAAGCGCACTTTAAAAACATTTTAAGAGCATTTTATTGATCTTGTTTTAGATCATCAGAATCCGCCCCTTGTTCGTAGACTCAATGCCCTAGAGGAAAGAAAGAAGACGACAAGGAGAGGGGAGAGCGCGCGCTGACTGACCTGCGCGGGGGCTGCGAGGGCGGCGGCGTCGGCGGCGGCGTGGGCGTGGGCGTGGCGAAGGCAGGGAGGACGCTGGCTGCAGACGGAGGCGGAGGCCCAGGCGCAGGCAGCTGCTCCCTGCGCACCACCACGTCCCTCTGGCGGCGAGAGCCCTCAGCGCTCAGCGACGACAGCACCGCCACGCGCGCCCGCCCGCGCCGCATCCCCTGCCGACACACGACCGCTCCGCTCTCAGCGCCACTTTCCCTTCTCTTCCCTCACCCCTTACACACATGCCGGGAGAGTGGTCGGGAGCTTGGGGCGGTGCCCCGCTGGGTGGGAGATACCTGGTCGGGGAAAACACCGCTAGCCACCGGATCTCACTATTCAGCGGTAAAACATCACCACAGCCACCTCTCGACGGGAAAAACATACACTACACTTACGGCATTAACGGCCGTAGTAGTTGACGCATCCGAAATCACTCACAATGAAGCAAGCAACTTAGCTTGTTGCATGTTACAGCCGACCTGGATGGCCGAAGTGGTTCAGGGCGTGGCCCGACTTACCGCTTCGGTACTAAGGATCCCGGTTTCCTTTCATTATCAGTCATTATCCGTCATTACTCCCCCAAGTGTAGTGCATGTTTTTGTTCGAGATGTGGTGGTGGTCTTCGCCCGCTGAGAGGCGAGACCCGGCGCCCACCTATCCGTCGGTTGGCGGGAGTTTTCCCCAACCAGGTATCGCCCACCAGCGGGGCACCGCCCCAGCCGAGACAAGCTCTAAGTTCCCGACCGGTCTCTCTGCATGTGCGGTAGTGTAGTGCATGTGTGTGTGTAAGGGGGGCGACAAAAGGACAAGAAAGAGGAAGATGAGATCGCGCGCTGTCCGTAGCCCGTTTTTTAGGGTACTGCTCCGGCATTCGCCTAGCGTTGATCGGAGAAACGGCGGAAAACTACCTATCAGAGCAGCCGGCCACTTGAATTCTCCTCTACACAGAGACTTTTCTTCTAATACTAGGGGGATTCCCCCCCCCCCACAGTGGGCCCCTAGGCTTTCTGGACACCCATAGCACGTCACACAGTTTTTGACGTTAAATACATACATCACGTGACCAGTCGGGAACTTGGAGCTTATCGGCCAGGGGCGCTCCCAAGGCGGAGATGGGAAATCCCCATAAACAAACTGGCATGTCAGCGACAGATGATAGGTTTCCTTAAGGGACTAACACCGCCCCCTCCCGGGATACAGAATGCACGACACTTCGAGGACCAACGTCATTGGCAGACGGAAACCCTTAAAAAAGCAATGTGGAAAACAGCGTTTTCATTGTTTAACTAACTTTGGATGTGATGTATATTTTACACACAACCGATGGTCTGCGACTCTCATACCCCAACCCTGGCATTCATCACCTCTCCAGGTTGGTGATAGACCTTGTTTGCCAAGACTTACAGGCACATCAAAACTAATGCAAGTCAAAATATCCATTAGAGACTAGAAACCTTACTCACTCGTTATGACATCAATCCATATTTAGATTTGAAAATGGCACAGCTTTAACACCAAAACAATTTTGCAATAAATACGTAAATAATTCATTCTTATTAGGGTCCAAAAATGGACATTTATTATTAGATTTCAGTATCTGCTCTTAATGCAATTTTAATGACAAAAACTTCGTGTTTTTCGACTCTAAATAAGTTTACTTTGATACATTCTACTTACTAATTTGCTTAAATAGTTAAAACTGTAAAATTCATTTGCGCAGTTTTTAATGTCTTTAAATTATCTACGTTTTACTATCAACATTAAATAACATTTGCAATAAAATGTTAATTCAAAAATAGTTGGTGTCAATTGATAGGTGAATTGAAGGTCAATTGATAGGTGAATGAAACATGTGTTTTGCTGCCTGCAATCTTAGAAAATGGAATCAACATGAATCGGACCTACCAATATGTTCACTGACAAACAAATTACCGACATCTATTCAATCTACCCTGCTTATCACTGAATGTTGAAAGACAGAATATTGAAATTAATTAATAAACACAAAGACTAATAATACAGAAAGCAAGGTAGAAGAGTACTGAAAATATGCTAAGCACTTAATACATAAAATGAATATGATGTATCAATGATGAGTCAAATAAGAAATACGCTGAGAAATAGAAGACTTAAAATAGAGAAATTCACTAATTTTTGAAAATATAAATTGTGACTACCACTTATTAATGACTGCTGGCTTAACTTGGAAGGCCAATAATGCAATGGAAAAAGAAGTCAAATAACTGTCTTTTCTTTTTCACAACTTTTTAATTCTGAAAATAAATTAGTAAACTACACAAAATACAAGAAGAATACCGTGAAAGAGAAAAATCACATAGAATTACAGTTCGTGGAGTACTGTGTCACGCTACACTTCTGAGTCAGTCACCAAAAAAATATCAATGGAAAAGAAAATCCACAAAATTCTAAAAACTACTTCCCCTCACATCACAATTATTTTGACATTTTTTAAACATATGAAACTCCTTTTATCTGTTAGTTAATGGAGGCAAAAAAGTCCAATCCTAAGAAAAACACAAATTGCAAAATGTAAATAAAAAATAATAATACATAATGTTAACAACTTAAAATAAATTACGAATGTAAATTATAGATCAAATCCTTTTGGAAGACTATAATAATTGCCAATTGACAGAAAAAAGTAAACAAACAGAAATCTACTTACGATTGCTGGTTAAAAATACTCAAAGAGAAAATTAAATTTATTAAATATTATCTCAGTAAACAAAATCCAGTTTGTAGTATATAAATTTCACACGCATATTAAAATTTGTAATAATTTTCTTCTACTTCAACCACATTTTATAACAAGCAATATCTTGTAATTTCGAGAGGAAAGCTTATACATAAATATACTCGAGAAAAAGCTTATAAAATACACCGCTTCAATTTTCCATTACGATCTTAGTAGAACTTTATACTTTTCTACAAACAGGAAGTAATGACACTATCAAAATTCCGCACAGAATACGCATCCGAACGTACCGCAGTGATTCGAAGTCGATTTCGCGCACAGCTATTCTCTTTTGTTTCCCGCAAAAATTTTAAATCTCGATAGTAATATCGAGACGGGGATAATGCGCGCGAAAATTTGGAATAATTCTTTTTGAACTTCCATAATAGTAAATAGAAACACTGTAATAAATAATTATGATAATGCACGTTCATCCGTGTTACATCCTCTTTTGAGAGAACCTACACTCCCCTTGGAACTTCGCTTGGCACTCTATAAAACGTGGTGCCGAAATGTGGCCAAGTAGGCTGCGGCAACGTGGTGGACCACAGCACCGAAGTACAAGGACACACTAGATCTAGTACAGGACAAAGTTCTGCGGCTCATTGCATGCCCTCCGTTTTGGAAACGGTTGAAAGTACGGAGTAAGGAACTTGATATCGACTCCTTCACTCAATGCTTGAGACGGCTTTCGTTTAACGAAGCATATCAAGCCTTTCAAACCAACGAAGCTCCGGCAACGCGAAAACAATTAGTTCGACACGTCCTCACTATAGGGCAAAGAAGGCAGACTCTCCTCTGATATATTCTATTCTAAGGGCGTAGTGCAACTCAAAAGCCGATTTGCTGTTGACTAAGGTCCGACACGAACCCACCATCCACTTACACGTAGCAGTAAAATGGCGAAATGCGTGCGAGCCGCAACCAGAGAGTATATTATTAGGAATATTATAGGAATTTATAGGCTGCAACACAAGTACACAAACCTTCAGCTAAGCCCCCCCCCCAAAAAAAAATTCGAAAATTACAAACGCTTACAATATTATTTAAGACATTTTGTTTTTAATGATACCTATTCTAAAAAATTTAATCCTTAAACAATGTCAATCACAGATTTCCAATATAAGAGCATTTGAGTAGTTTTTGCATAAGTTTCAATAAAATCGAAACAATTAAAAAATACTTGATCCAAATTTTTCATATTTTTTATATAGATTCATATTTTACTTCCTCGTATACGGAGTAATATTCGTAATATAAAAGAAAGATGCCTGGCAGAAAACTGTATTTAAGAACTCTGATTTCAACTCTGAAAACAATGGTACCTAGTTGGTGCCAAGGGATACTGCAGGCAAAATCGTTCAGTATCGAGTGACAATGCAATATTTGAGGAGAGTGAACGTTTTCTTCAGTGGAACTGCCCCCAAAGGATTGGTATACAAACCGCCAGAGGCTGTGTTAAGTCTTTTAGGTGCAGACAGATAGCAGCTGAAAAGAGAATCAAGTGAAACCAAGAAGCTAGCCCCGATTCTAGGGAACAACAAATAAACATGGACGAGAAAGTCTACGCCATTTTGTAGTACCACTAATTTTCTTTGGTTTTTAATATTCCATTGTCCAGTGGGTTGGTAATTTAATGCTAGTTTTGAAAGACTTTCATTCTTCATATTCTCAATGTGTTCGAAATATTTTTTCTAAACATCTTTTATTTCTTTTACAATATTTCTTTTTTACGCCTATTCCTTAAATCATTGATTCTTTGTCAAACCAATCATGTAACTCTTGAGGTATATCAGAAGAATCTCATTTGTCCAGTAGTCAACCTTTTTAGAGAAGAAAAGGTATGGGTGTCGTGTTGTGAATTCAAATTTTTCTTTCCTGTCACAACTTTTCAAAAATGTTTCTTATTTATTCCATTGGATCTATTATATTTCTGGATTGTAGGTCTACTTTCTAGATCTGCATTTTGCTCAATATTGTATTAATTGGTAAACAAAATTTTGGGTTGATGAATATCTTAATTACAAGAATTGTGCAAAGCTTTTGATACATTTTGTAATTTGTTGGCAATGAAATTGATTGGGAGGATTTCAGAAAATTGCCTTGTCAACTAAAATGTGTAGAATACTTCAAACAAAATGACAATTCAGACATTCATCCAGAATTGGCAATAATTGCTCAGTAGTTTTATGCCACGTTTATCTAATTAGTATTATGCCATGTTTTTATCTAATTATGGTAATTGGTCTTTTATTTAAGTACAATGAACTAATGTAAGAAATAGTCTCTCTGTAGGAACAGTGAAAATAATTTTGGAGGTAAAATACAATCTTAATTAGGACATTATTAATACTAAGATTTCCATACAGATCAGACAAACCCACAAATAATAGAATATAAGGAGCAAAATCTAAAAACACAAACTGCTAAAACTAATAAATGAGGAAAAGAAACAAAATAGTAGGCTCCCTCAAGGAAAGGAATAATTTAATAGGGTACTATCTTGAAAAAAGGAAACAGAAAAAATTGTAACAACTACAATACAATCATTTTTTGAGTGACACCAAACATTTTTACAAATATAATTAGTCAGAGTCTAGCAGTACAAGAAGAAGAAATAATTATGAAAGTACCATGAGAATTCCACAAGGGGAGATAAACAGTGGTTGCTTTATTCATTCTCCTTCACACTACTAGATTGTAGAAAAAAGAAAAGAAAATAACATGACAATATATAATGCTTTTCACACTGAAAATACCTTTGACAATATGAATAAACAGAAATTATAGACAGTTTAGAAAAAATTCAATACCAGAACATTAAATCAAAAATATTCGAAGTTTATACGATGATTCAATTATTGAAATAAAAAGCTAACAGGAATCCATAGCATACACAAACTTTTCCTCCTCTTGGCAATATTACTCAACGATTACTCAATTTTGAAAAAAGTTCATGACACCACTTAAAGATATAAAATTGAGGAATAAATTGCAATGAGAAAGAAATTTCTGACTTTGATATTAGAAATTAGGCCAGGTTTAAAAATAAATTGGAATGTTTCCCATTTTCATGCAATTTTTAAAACTTCAAATAAAAATCAGAACAATATCATATTTAAAAATTTACTTTCTTCTATTCAAGCAAAATAACTAAAGAATAAAATTTCTAGACATTTTCTAGAAAATTTTTAAAATGTCACAGAGCTTAATGTGAAGTAGACTTCCCCCAAAAGTTTAAATACGTTGATGATCTTTGAAATGCCATAAATAGATCTTACTCCTCGCAAATTTACCAAGTTTTAGCTTTCTAATCTGAAAGAGTTATACATGAACCATCCATCCATCCAATCATCCCAATTTTCAGGCACAACAGTATGTGTATCTTCTCATCACTCACATCAATCTTAACCCTCTTTGGAACAGCACAATTCTAATACTGATATGTGTGTGCAAAGATATACCTCATAAGAACATTAACCAGGGATTTCACAACTGAAAATTCAATATCATATTGTTATCCCTACAATATAGAATATGGAGGAAAATAATAATGAAGGTTCAAATGTCCCCTGCCATCACTAGTCTTCAACATCTACCGGAATCATTTGACTAAAGAAAAGAAAGAGAAAAACTTGTGCAGGAACAAAAATGACTAGCAACCACAAATTATTGACTATTATTAGCAGAAGACCAAGTCATAATGTTAGACTCAAAAGACACAGTAAAAATATCAGCCATCTAACAGCAAAATATGTCTAGGATAACAAATGAAAATATCTAGCTAGTAAATAAAAAAGCTAACCTGGCAAAGAATAAAATCTAAAATGGCAAAGAATATCTTCAAGCCAAAATAATAATAAAAAATTCAGTAACTGAACTCATTAAAATCTTTCAATACTTCGGAAATACAATTGGATTAGAACAAAAGGGAAGACAAAAATTTAACAAAAAGAGCAAAAAATATACACTTTGGATACACAAGGAGGAAAAACTACGAGAATTCATAACATTACATCAAAAGTAATGTTTATTAAAGTATTAGGGTGACAATTCATCCAGTTTTGAACAGGATAGTTTCATTATTTAGGAATGTCTTGGCCATCCTGTCTTTTTACTATTTTTTCCTGTTGGCTCTGCTTTACTGACTTTGTTATAATTTTTTTGTCCTGAATAGAGTGAAATTTAGAACAGCAATGAGGAATTTATATACATGCAAAAAAGCTGACAATTTATATACATCAAGACTTGTGTATTTGATCTGCAGACTCTCATGGAATCTTTAATTGAAAAACAGCCAGCGATGATTCCAGTCATATAAAAAAAATATTTCAACAACAGATGTTTTATTATATAGTTTATAAAATAGTAAAAATATAGTTTGTAATATAGTTTATAACAATATAGTTTCAAGTACTGAAGATGATCTCACAAAAGAGATTGAAACGTCTGTCGTTGAATTACATTTCTTGACTTAGGTCTGGAATCATCAGCTGCTATTTACTGTACATATCCAGTGATCCTTGATGTTTTTTATCTATAATTGCAACTCAACTAAAGGCAAGAAACAACAAATTTTCCTAAATTTGTTAGACTGTACTTCAGTAACGTTTTGCTTTTGTATTACATTGTATAATTTATATAATATTCGTACTGTATTGCAGATTCATGTATTTTCTACGTGGTGGAAAATACACCATGATTTTTTAAGGATTAGCAGTACTTTGGTGTTTAAATCGCAAAGAATATATCGATAATAATGTCCATCCTCGTTTTAATTATCGACTTTGCTTATCGACCCTCCTTTTGACTATCGATTTGAGTACAGTCAGCTTGTTAACCTAGCCGCGCGTTCTTGGATACACATTTTAAATAGTAATCCACAATGTTAAAAACCGGCCGATATTTTGTTGCTAAGCGAGTGACTTTGAAGAGACTATACAGTTTCGACAACGCTACTGTAATTGGGTCCACTCCAGACGCAACATGCTCTGAATATCAGGTAAGTGTGACTACGAGTTTGGCAGTGACCGGCCGTGCACAACAGGTGGTTTGTTGATTATGAAATTGGTGTACTCGCGCCGAGTCAGTGACTGTACTAGCAAGTTCGAAGTCCATGACATGACAAAGCAGGTTGAATATTACTCATGGTACGGGGTTTGTTTGCGGTACAGGCGGTGTAAACTGTTGTTTAACGTGGAAATTTAAATGAGGCAATGCCAAATTAATAAAATTAAAATAGTGTGAAAAAAATATTACACACATATAGTAGGGAAATAATCCCTACCTGAAGCGATTTTTGTTTATTCTATCGTTAAAGGTACTCGTAATTGTGTTAATGGCGAAGAACGAAAATTCCATTATGCATGCCGTAACTTTTTTGATTTCGAAAAATCAGCGAAATGAAATTGCCCGTGAACGTTTCGAATATCATTTGTTCTTTTCATTGTACATTTTTTAACACGGGATCTTTGACGTCATTCGGTTATCTTCAACGATTCTTGTGACCTTGCACTTTGACTTGGTGTAACCAAATTGTCTGATCTAGTTTTGTTTTTTTTTTTTTTGTTTTTTTAAGTCTGATTCTCTCGTTCATTACAGCATCAGTTGCGTAACGCAATGCGGGCGGGCCCGGGTTAAAGATGTTTTTTAGGGGATATTTTGATTATTGAAGGTACTAACAGCACTTGTGTTTGCTACACACTTCTATAAAGGATTTGCCAGTTATGTTTTGCCGACGGGCCCGCACTCATTTCGTTACGTGACTGTATGCCATCTTCATTTATGCGTTACGGTAATGTAGTATACAAATAAATGATTTTTTTTAAAATATGAAATATCTTATAAACTCTAAAAAATGATTAAGGAAGTTTGCTAGCAACTTCTATGCAATGTTGATGTGTTATACCTATCTCAATCTGGCTAATTAGCGTATATCCGATTAATGTTTACATTATTCAAAATGGGTGGAGGAAGTCCAAAGAAGGAACGGCTTCGAAGCACATTAAGACTACTTAAATACTCTCTGTTTAAGACTTTGTCGGTATAATGTCACAGCCAACACGAGGTGTGTAGAGTAGGTAAAGTACGTTACTGTGACGAAAAATATCATATTTTCTGATATTCAGGGATTATACTGTTTCTGGGAAGTTTCTAATGCTAGTGAGAGAGTGAATAGTTTCAAGTTCCACGATATTAAATGTGCACATTTTCTTGAGCCCTGGATCTTTTATTACCATTACTTGAATTCAGAATGAATTATATCAAGGAGCGTTGTGGATTTACGTTGATGACATACTCTTGATATCCAGAATGTTCGCTTCCGTGTATTTGCATTGAAAAACTATCTACAGATTTGATATATTAGTCCTGTCAACCAAATAACCAAACCCCAACTCCTTTACCATCTCGTGCAGTGAGGTCTCAAGAAAACGTGCGTGGATAATACCTCCTGAACCCACCTCGCTGTATATACCTCGGATAAGAACGTTACGTATTTTCATCGACACTTCTGCCATCACATAACCTCGAGTCTGTGCAAAACATAATTTTTTACGCGTTTTTTGTGTCAGACTTCTCTCAAATACACGAAACACCTCTTACTCGGACAGTCTCCTTACTTTAGCCTGAGACTAAGGCTAAAAAAATTCGATCAAGTCCGAAAAAAAGCCGTTCATTGTCGTAAACACACCTTACCACACCGTCTGACTATTTTTCAAATAAACTGGCTACTTCTATTAACCAGTATCTTCTGGAATGCTGGCCTAGATACCCGTGATCACTGAAGAGCCGTAGCTGCCTTGTGCTTGAAGGGTCGCGGGTTCGAATCCCGCCCGAGGCATGGATGTTTGTGTGTCCGCGTACCGTTATTCCCGATGTTACTTTCAGTGGTCGCTATATGACCGTTGATGACCATAGTAATTGAAAACAGTGATGCGACATCAATAACAAAACATCTATGTTAGCAAACATCATGTTAAAAATACATCGACTAAAAACCGTCGATATTATTCAATATCGATGTTTTTAGACCGGATTAGTACTAACCTCTAACATTAAATTTGTGAGCAATAAAATTTAATTTGACATTGTTCGTGTTTATCAATTCGCCGAATAAAGGTGTGATACGAAGGTGCCGATCCTACGTCCACAGGATATTTGTTCGTCATATCTCAATGTGCAAAATGAATATGAAGAGGAAATACAATGGCATAGTGGTCACTCGGGTTGCAGGTAGTGCAACCAGCATTCCTTTGGTTCTAACACTTGTTTAACGGTTTTACTATCAGTTAATTCATATTTTAACTTTTACAGTATTGCGATCATGGGAATTTTTCATTCCGAAACAAAACACCGGGAAAGAAAAAACATCGATCACAAAACATAGATGTTAATAAAACATGGGTGTCAATACATCGATGTTTTGAAGACATAGATGTCACATTCCTAGTTGAAAAATGACATTGGAAAAAAAAAAAAATCTTCCGAAGGTACCGGAACGGTTTGGAGGTTTAGCGACGAACCCGGAAATCTGCAAAAAAATTATGTATTTACGAACTTAATTCTACATTATTTAGCCATGTATTACAATCATTTTCTTCAAGTTTGTGGAAAATATTTCCAGTGTTGAGGTTCAGCAACGGCACATTTTTTTAAAGCATTTTCTGAACTTGTGGTCCTTTCTGCGGGGACACAGATGGTCTTGTTCTTTTTCTATTTTTATTTCTAGGACTAAGTCACCATTCGCCATGTTTCTCCGAATGCACATCCTCTCCATCGACACATATTAAAATAAAATTACGCACGGCGACTGGAATTGTTTTTTAACCATTGATAAACTGGAAGACGAAACCATAGACTAAGAAGGAACTATTCAAAGGAAAGTAACTGAAATCAAGCCTGATGAGCCCCATTACTCTATGACGAAACTATTACTTACAGATAAGAAATCTTCTGATAATAAAAGTTCTATACTATGAAGCAGTAACTCTTTACCTAAACAAAGATAGAGGAAAAACTACGCTGGAGTTAGTCCACCTTGATTCGTTACTTCGTTAATTAAATAGTAACGGATTTGTTTTTGTAAGTAGTTTTTTAATGAATTGGTGCCCGTGCCGAATGCAACTAGCAATAATGTCAATCATTCCAATGTTTTACGTGTACGATATCATGTATAATCGTTTTAGTTGGACAGGATCATGACTGATCATAATATTTTCTGGGAAAGGTGCTTTTGAACAGAGTAGTAGAGAGCTTTTGAACGCAACCAACACAACCGATTAACAAATGACTGCTCTGTTGCGTGCTGGGCGCTGGCGGAAAAAACGCTCGTTTTTATTGGCTACTTGAACTCCATTAGCCGGACCACGCGGGAACGAACTGTCTACTTCCCAATTCACGTCTTCAGTTTTAAAATGCTGAGTTAATCGCGTACTGGAAGTTGTTGATGTTGTAAACACTGGACCAATTGCTTTAATTTACTGCAACATCATTATTTTTGCGCATTTCCTGTGCAATGTTTTCCATAGAGTTGTGAACGCCATCAAGCACGTTCCAAGCGTTAAATAACATAATTGTGAAGCCTACGATTCTGTTTTCTACGTACAATGGAATGGTCAAATGAAGATGTTCTTCTGTTGGTGGATTTGGTGCGTCGAAGACCTTGTTTGTATGACAAGGAATGTGAAGCCTATCACAATACAAAACTGAAGCAGGATGTTTTAAAAGAACTTGCATCAATTATTTCCTCCAATAGGTAAGTAATGTTAGTATTTTCATTTTTCAGGTAGTATAAGTGTGTGAACATGTTAAATTACAATTCAGATACCTAGATCTACACAAAGGCAATATTATTTGAATTTTTGAATAGTAAGATTTTGTATCAACGAAGAGCTTGATAGTATGTAAAATAGCTTTAAAGACAAATTTATTAATCATTATTAATTCTCTTTCCCTTTCCTGCAATGCACTTGCAGAATGGCCAAGCGTAAGTAAAGTTTAACTGTTGAAGGTTTTTAATAATAGCATCAAATTCTTGATGTATCCAAGAAGGTACAAGCATGACATGAGGTCAAAAGTATGGGCACAATGTCTATATTTGGGGAAGTGTAAAGCTGTGTTTGTTGAAAGGCCCACATTCACTGTCAGAATCACCAGGAAATGGGATGAAAAACTCAAAATTGAAATTGGGAGGTTTGGAGTAATTGAATATCAATAATGTTATAAGCAACTTAAATAATCAAACAGTTTTAAAATGTTTAGATGGATGAACATTAACAAACCATAAACAATTATGATGAATACAGCATTGTAGCAATTATGATGAATGTGCTAAAAAGTAAGGCTAATGATGATTAAATGTTGGCAGACTTCGTTAATCAGAGAAAAGTGAGCAGTTTGAAATGTCTGGAAAAATCAAGGCAATGCGGAGGAATTGTGGGTTCAAGTGGAGAAAAGTAAAATAATTATTTTTTAATAATGTGAAAACTAAACCTAAAGAGTTCACCTGAAGTATTTTGAAAATTTATACAAATTGAATTTTTCGTCTTTTTTTGACCTATTGTATATCACATTTTACTGGCTCTTAATATTTGAGACTGAGCTAACACAGCTCCAGAATGTTTCTTATACAGTAAAATTCTCTTTATTAACCTATAAAATATGGAAATTGTCCAATGTAAACGTAAATCATGGTGATGGAAAATGTAAATTCTACAGTATTATGCGGAATCTTAGTAATTCAGAAGACAAAGTACTTGTCTCTGGATGTTCTGCATTGTCATCTGTACATGCTGCAAATCACAATTGTATAAACAAACGTTTCTTTATTATTTCAAATATCATTCAATAAATTTACACATCTTGGCTATTCTGGATGATGCATTCTATTGAGTGAATTTTTTTGATAGATTCTTAGACATGTACTTTGAATGATAAGTGTCTGTAATTTTATATTTTTTGTTTAGACCTGAAACAACAGTTGATGAAGTTTTGGAAAAGTGGGAAGCCTTGTGTTCGATATATGCTTCCAACTACAAGAAAGGAACAGCCAAAACAGTGAGGGTTTGTATCATATTAGTTACTTTTTTTTTTTCTGTTACATGCCAAATAAGATAGTTCTTATAGTGTTTTGATAATTTAAATTTAATTCTTATTCAAAAAATTGACTTTTCTCCGACCTTCAAATTGTTAAAATATATATTTGTTTTGTTACTTTAATTTTAAAGAACTAATAATTATGCAACATATTCTAAAATGATGGGGTAAATAAGACGGATATTTGCTAAACATCTTATTCAGAATAATGATAATAAAATTATTTGAAAATCAATGTAACAAAGAAATAGTTTGGCAAATTATTCTTAGGGTTCAAACGTTTTTATAAAACAAAACAAGTTTCAGATCCCTAGTGCGGTGCTTTTTTATGCGAGTCCTGCTCGTTGGCCAAATGGGACATCTCTCAAGTTCTGAGTTCTCCAAACTTTGTTCCACTGGGGGGCTGGATAGGAAGTTTTGAAGAGCCTTGAAGGCCAAAAATTGAATTTCATGAAAGTATGGAATACGTCACATGTTTGTTAAATTAAATATTAATTAAAGAATGACAAAACGGTTCACAATTTGCATGCAATACGGGGGGGGGGGGGGGATTGAAGGTTAGGCATTGTATTTATTTCATAGATGAAAATCGTAAAATTTAAGATTTGTGATTTGAGGCAGAATTGGCACGCAGAAGTCAGTGTTTAGTAAAACAATGGACAGAAGCTATTATGTTGTACCTGTTATGTCTGTATTTCAGAAATCTCACTACAAACATTTCTTCTTGGAAAGAATGGGGTTTATGAGATCCCATTTGGGTCTTCCAATAAAGAATCCCGTGTTCAAGAAAAATGGTAGTAATGAGGATACAACTGATGAAGGGGTAAGAAATTTCCTTCTGGCATTTGTAAGTTAGCTGTGTCATGATAGGATAAGTCTATGTGATATTCGGTTCTTACGAAGTTGAAAGCCTTTTCCAGTTAATGTAGGAAATGGATGTGCTGGGTAGTGAGAAAATTTTAATGCACACAGAGACCTCCAGTTTGGTGCAGTGAAAGGAAAACTGTTCCTGTGCCAATAGGGAAAGGGAGAAACTTAAGTGCCTGGCATTGAACGTAATGTGCACGAGTCTCTTAATTTTCTCTGTGTTATTTTGCATGTGGCATCAGGCAAAATGCTGCTGAAGGAAACCATACAGAATAGTTTTCCAAGAAAAGCATGCACACTATGCACTCCAGAACAACATATAAAAGTACTCTAGTGAAATACTGCAACATATTAAATGTATTTTAACACAATCAGTCATCAAGAATACTGCAAGGTCATAAGAGTATAGTGCAAGTAGTATAACATTCGTTAATATCAAAAATAGTGAAAAAGTTGTTGTCCCATAATACAGAATGTGAGTTAACAAATATTTAATAGCAAGCAGCCTCATGAGAGTCTTGTTGTCACACAATGTCTACTGTGTTATAAGCAGTGTCTCCCCGCATATGAGAAATCAGTCGGTACACACTGCGAATAGAACACAATCAAATGTTTGAATTTCCTGTAAAAATAGAAACTTACCAAAAATACAAAACCAATGTAAGTTCCTTGGTATTTAACGAAACCACTCTCTCATATGGCTGGAGGCTGGATGATCTTTCAGCTGCTTTCAATTTCTGTGTGAACTGAAAATTTATTAACAAAATATTACAAATGTGTAGTAATAAGTAAAAGATATGTATGTAAAATGAGAATGAACACATGGTGTAGTGTGTACAGGTAGTAATCTGTGTGAGTTTGTTAGCAGTGTAGATGTTCGAGATAGACTAGAAGATAAGTAACACTGCAAAGTATAGCAATTTTCCTTTTCAGTACATTCAATTCCGGTAATAGTCAGCTTTTGGGGACTAATTTTCGGTTCACTATATCCAGTGATGTCACAATTAAATAGGAGTTCTCCATAATGATTCATTTTATTAATATAGGGAAATATATTTATTTTTAAAAAATACACACACATTTTATAAAAAAAAAAATTATTTTCAACTGTTAGCTTCAATTTCTCTAGATCCTCCTTGAGAGATTGTGGTGTCTTCATACTGGATTCTGCATTGTCCACCGTCTGTAAATATCGTAATGCAGTTTTGACACACTTGTATGCCTCCTGTACTGTTGGAACACTCTCCGAAGAGGACTGGGTAGAAGGTAGTGGGATGGTGCAAGCGGCTAATGGCACTGATCTCTGAATGAAACGTTCCAGGTCTGCTAGCTCCAACTCTGAAGACCTCTATGATTTTGATCTTTGGGTGACGATATTTTTCCAAGCTGTCTAGTGTTGGAATTTGGGGCACTGACGCAATATATTTTTCAGGAGGGAAGTTTCCAACATATTCACTATGGTCAGTTGAGGAAATTAACATGAGCTACAATGTATAGAAACCCACATTACAATATGAAAAATTAAATTTACTAATTTAAATATAATAAATAAATATGATCGATGATAATCATAGTATGTATGAAATACTACGTACGTGTGTACTAAAATGAGGGGAATAATAAAGGATTAAAATATGCATTTGCTTTGAAATGTGGTTCCTATTAATCAGCCCCTTGCGTTGCCCGATTGACAAATCTGTACATTACTGGAAATGATTTTGAGGTTACTCAGCAAGCTAGGCTATTTATGACTTTTATTCTTTAATGGATGATTATTACAATTATCAATCGCATGCTTTCACCATTATGATCTACATAAAGGTGTTATGGCTTTTATAGAAGAATAGCATTTCTTTAATTTATGTATTAGGCTCATACTTGTTGATAAATTTACAATAAAATAATTTATTTCTTTGCTTCAATTTTCAGGTGACTGTAAATAATGGAAGGTTATCCCAAAGCCAGGAAAGATATCCCTGTTTGGAACTTGCACGAATAGAAACCAGCCACAGTGATGTGGTCAGTGATGAAGAGAGTAACTCTGTCAACGCAACAAACGGGGGATCTATTTCCGCTATATCAATACATTCTGATAATTCACCACTAGTGAACAGTTTACCTCCGCAATTAAATTCCAGTAGGAAAAGGCGATATTCCACAATGTCAATAACAAGCCAAGCTACTCTTAATCAAGATGTCTCGTGTGTAACAATAGGCAGTCCTCTTGTGAACGTAAATGACTCTATTCTCGATAGAACGGAGCCTTTTGACCATGAATACCAGACTTACAGAAAATCCAATGGCTCTTTTGCAAGTAAGGAGACGTATTCACAAGATGAAGATGAAGACCATTTCTACATGAGGTACATCCTGTGCAAGGTCAAAAAGCTAGAAGGGGCACAGAAGCTGAATTTCAAACTTCAACTCGAGAGGCTGTTATACGAGTGCACGAAAAAGTAGTAGTCAAACAGGTAATATTAGTAGAATAATGAAGCTCCTTGTTTTTCTTTCATTGATTTTCCTTCCTCTTCTCTCCCAGTTTAGCTGCTGAGAATTTGAGTTGATCCATTTTAAGGTCATGTACATGACTTGGTCCATAAAATATTTGTATATGTATGTATGCATGAATGAAATGTTCAATGTTATTAACATTGGTGTCTTTCAGCATTTGTGCCAATGTGTGCCATTTTTTTACTGCAGAAACATCAGAGTATTCCATTTGGTGTATTAAAATTGTATTATTGTTGCATTTCTGTTATTTTTGAGAATTTGTATAATGTTTCCTTCAATTTCTTTTTATGGGACTTTTAAGAATGGATAAGGAGGTTACAAAACTTACTTTTTTCATGTGAACCCATTTATTATGTTTTTTTGTTTACATGATTATGATTTATTCTGCTGAAATCTTATAATAATAATAATGATAATGATCATCATCAAATTGGGGAAGTAGAAACAAATGTTTTTTAATTGTACTTCTCTGAACTTTCAAAGAAAATTTAAATATATAATAGATTATTTGTTAGTTCGATACATTGAAAAATATACCATTTTCTATAAGCTTTGGAATATTCAATTTTTTGATCTGTTATCACCATGAAGATTAAAACCTAATTCATGGCTCCTGAAAACTAAATTGAAGTATTTATTCTGTAATGTAATAATACTCGGTGATAGTGGATAAAACGATTTATGGCACTGAAGATAAATGGGCATTACTCAATTGTAAAATAAAATATGACCATCTTCTGGCATTGCCTCTCTTCCTCACTTGTGAACATTATAGTTCAAAGTGACGTCGAGATAGTACAAAACAAATGTCATGTAATATTTGAAATCTGTGAATATGTACCCTTAAAAAATGTTAATGTATATTAATTTAAACCAAACAGTGATATTAAAAAGGAATAGCTAGTTTTTTATATTATTGGATAAGTAATACATTGTAGACATTGAGGAAGAAAATAAATATTTTTATCATTTATATTTTTAATTTTTTTTAAAATTTTCAAAATTTCCTTGATTTGTGGTCTAAAACTGTTTCTTCTAGAAATTTCCAGAGAAAAGGTTATCCCATTTGTTGTTCAGTTAGTTGAATTCAGTGGAGAGAATTTGAATATTAAAAAATAAAAATTGAAAAACTAGTTTGTAAAAACAAGTTTTGTTATCCACAGCACTACTCTCAACTGATATACTATTCTATTTTATTTTATTTTACTTATTATGTATTTGAAATTTATGTTGGTATTTTTATTTCTACCCATCGAAGTTTCTTTCAAAGAGTCAAAAAACATGCTTGTTGGAAAATCCAACAGCCCTTGTAAGTTCAGATTTTTATCTCTGTTGTAATTAGATAATTATCGAGTTCAGCTGGATTAAATGAAACTTAAACAACCTGAGAAAGGATTAAAGTCCGGAACTGGAACATGTACATGAGCAGATCTTAAATTTCAAAAAGTTATCTTAACGAGTTTCCTACATAGCAAAGGCGGCACTTAATCACATTGGTTTTACTAACCGTATTGAACAATGAAGAATTTTTAGTACAATCATGGTGAATCAAAATGGCCTCTTTTTTTTTTTTTTTTTTCCCAATCAAAGTAGTTTTCTTTTCCAGCACTCGTGCACAACACTAGAAATTACATTCATAGTTAATTGATAGGAAAGTCTTTCCTGACAAGTACCACAAAGAAATCCATGATTGTATGAAATAACTGAATTTAAAGTTTTTGATTTGTTCAAAAAACAGTAAAAACTCTTTGTGATGTGGGGACGAAAGTATAATCAGTATTTTCGAGCTCCAGAATCCTTTCCCCACCCTTGTCTTCCATATATTTATTTTAGGTCACTTTAAAAAATAAAGGTAATCAGCGACCACAGACTAAATTTACTAATTTAGAATAGGTTGCACAAAAGGTTGGATATTTTTATTTTATTTATGCCAGAAACAGTTAAAAACTGTGACATGTTATGGAGAGGTTAATTTGAAGTTACATATATGTCCAGAAGCCAAAAAAGGCACCATCTCTCAGCAATTGCTCAAGGATAAGGGAAAGTGAATAAAAACCTGATGAAGATGGGGGGTCATTTGCCCAGAAGCTGAAGTACAATACTTATTATAGGTTCTTTAGAATTGTACAATATTTAAGTCCAATTGATACAGTCTAGGTAAAGTTATTTTCTTACATCCTTCAACTACTTTAAACATCTTATACCAGTCTTTATTCATACTTTAATGGTATCTTATTTGCTAGTCCTGGACATTCTACATGTGCAGGCGACATAATATTTTTACACATTGGACACAGTTAAAGATTGGTTTTCATTGTGAGGAGACTGACAAAGGTTGAAATGTCCCTCCTTAATCTTGTGAAGAGGACGTGATGTCTGTTGCTGGTCTTGAATTTTGGGAAGGCTTCTTCGGTGACTGATTTTGTAACTAAATGACATTTTGTAAAGTTCCAATGTTTCACCGTGAGACCATTATACTTTCTTTAAACATCAATGTCCATGGATGTGCTTTCCTGGAACTTGACATGTTATTGCAGATTTAGGAGTAATATCTGCTTTTTCATTACCTTATGGGACAGGAGCCTTACCAATCCAATTTGGATTGCATTTTCACTAAGGATAGAGAGACATTCTTGAATGTTTTGGATTAGTGGATTGGTTGAGTATCTGTTGCCTGTGGGTTTTTAGCGTGGAATGTTTTTTGTGCCCTTTTAGTTAATATTTATATTATTAACGTTCATTTGTTACATTGAATAACTTTCGTTAGTATACAAAATTAGTAAAAACTATTTTTGAATTTGTATCGATTTTCGGGGTGTGAGCCGTACATCCTTTGGGCAGGGTTGAAACCTCACGAGCCCCCTTGTGTTATTTTTTGGCATATTTGCTTGCGTATTTTCATGGTTTTCGTGGATACTAGCAGAATCCGGCAGACGTCCTGCACTCTTTCCTCTCATTGACACATTGTCCTCCCATTGCAATGTAGTCTTTGTGTCAGTTGTTCGAAGACAAAGTATGCTTAAATTTGTCTAAAGAGCTTATTTTCTAAGTTTCAACCTCTCCTCTACGGATATCTGTATATAGAAGAAGATAAATTCGCGCTACGGGGCATTCATTTTATCGTTCGCCAAAGATTCGGGTCGGGGAGGCGAGGGTTCACTAGCCCGGGGAAGCACTTGACTCAACACCCGTGCTGACACGGGCACTATTGCTGCGCTTATCTTACTTTAAAGAATATGCTGTAAACAGTGTCCGGCTCGAATGCGTTCTTGGTACCCGCGGAACATTTATTTACGTTTGAAGTCTCGAGGGATTGCTGCGATTTTCTGTTCCATAGAGCTCCGTAGCCCTTCCTCCGAATGCGGGTTTTCTGCATACACCTGATCTTTCAAGTATCCCCGAAGGAAACAGTCACAAGAGTTCAATCCAGGCGATCTAGGAGACCATAATCCAAGACGAATTGTTCGATCGTCACAAACAGTATTTAAAATATTCATGGATTGAGCAGTTACGGAATCCTGTTGCAACTAACAATGTAGTCCTTGTGTCAGTTGTTCGAAGAATCTCAATTTATGATTCATGTAAACATCAACTAACAGTGCCGTAGAAAAAAAATTAGGTTCTTGAATTCTTGTTGAACTCAACGCACACCCCTCTTCGTGAAGCAGGTGAGGGTTTCCTGCACTCCAATAGCACCTCTAATAGATGAAACCACGTTTAATCGAAAAGGGTTTGAATTGAATTGAATTGATGCCGTATTTTACGTGGCGAGACTCGTAATTTTCTATATCCGACTCTTCCTGTGCTTTGTAATGTACATCAAACGATACCAGCGATTTAGGTTCATTGTAACTGAGTGTCCCCTATGACCGGAGTCGACTCTACTTCTTAAGTTCACTACAGCCGAGGTTCGGAATTCTTTAGAAGCGAATCTTCCCATGAGTGTCCCCTAATCTGGCGATATATTTTTTCCAGGAGGGAATTAATTTCCAGGACGTTCCTACGTTCACTAAGCCGAATCTTCTCGTGCTTCATTATAATGTAAATCAAACGAGACAAGTGATTTAGGTTCACTATAACCGAGTGATCACTATATCCGAGTCCACTATAACCAGAGTCTACTGAATAGTGGATCAAAAATGTTCGTCTCCAGAAGTTTGCAATAACCGGAGTTGACTGTAATGTACCAAATATGTTGGTCTCCCTACGTCCACTATAGCCGAGGATCGGAATTTTCTTTCACCGACTCTTCCTGTGTTTCTTTGTAATGCAAATCAAACGAGACCAGCGACTGTAACCGAGTGTTCCCTATAACCGGAGTCGACTCTATTTCCCAAGTTCACTCCAGCCGAGGTTCGGGCTTCTTTAGAAGCGCATCTCCCCTACCCCGAGTGGCGCGCGTGCGTGCGTGCGTGCGCAGAGTCGGGCGCGGGCGCTGCGCGCGGCGAGCGCGGCGGTGCGCGCGGCG